CGGAAATTTTATTTATACCTTGGGAAGTGCTTCTGCAGAGAGCCCCAGGAAGGGAAGGAAGGTGAGGTGTCTGCGAGCTGCGTTTGCATCAAAAGGTAAGACGCTTCAGTGCTGCGATTTTACAACAAATTGGCCATGTTTGTCTGCACCTGTTTAAACGTTACCTGGGAAGGAGCATAAAGGTTAATAGATTGTGTGTGCGTGCACGTGCGCGCCCAGGTCTCCTGCACCTCACTGCGCCCAGGCATCACACCAGAGGATGCTGCGTTTGTCCTGCTTTCCAAACGCAGAGGCAGTGAGAACTCCCTGCCCTTCTCCCCTGACCCCGGCAGCTTTAAGCAGACACACAATGGAGCAGGGGCTTTCAAACCTCGGCTTTCTTCTAAACACTCCCTGTTGCCGCTAGACGCCAAACCTGGCTGCAGGGGGATGAGAGGGGCATGGCAAAGGGGTCTGGGCTGATTTCTGTCCCATGCAGACGGGCAGCTCAGCGGACTGCTCGACCCCCTGCTGATACCGCGCCCAGAGCAACTGGATTGTAACAGGTGCATCCCGCCAGCACTAGGTGCAGGCTGCCAGGGGTTCCAACGAATTGCCCAAGGGGCGCGTTTCTTCAGGCAGCTCTCAGGGCTTTGCTCTCACGGGGTCTTTTGTCAGCGCCCCCTGCTCTGCCCGTGATCGGCGCGTGCGAGGGCAGGCCTGCTGCAGGAGATGGGGGGGCCGGACCGGCAGCGCAGAATTCCCCGCTGCTAGCATCCACCTGCATGTGAAGAGCTCGCGGCCCCCTCAAGGGCGTTGCTGCCTGAGTACTGTGTCTGAAGGTCAAACCCAGCAGCTTCCACAGGCGGACGCGGGGCCCCAGAAGAAGCTCCCCGCCTCCTTGGAGGAGCTGGGCCCCGAGGCCAGGACGCTCGTCACTACAATGAATACTCGGCCTTGCTCTAGTGCTTCCCCCTCAAGGCGCTTCCCAAAGAGCGACGAATTCGGCTCCCGGCACCTGGGGTCCGAAGGGCTCGGGACTCGCCAAGCCCTGGACAGCCAGTGGCAGACCTGGGAGATGGAGCCTTTTCACACTCCCCGTGGTAGCTGATTGCCTCTCCCTGCCTGGGTCTCTGAGGCACAGGCCTGGGCGCCCAGCTCTGCCAGGGGCTGGAACTCCGGCTTTGTGCAAGTGGCAAGGTGGGGGGAAGCCTGCGAGAAATAGCAGCTGCTGGTAACTGGGGGTGATTTTTTAACCCGTTGTACCTCAGAATGAGGAGGGGCTTCACTGTTCATTGCCCCAGCCGTGGTCAGGCAGGTCAGGCGGTCTCGCTGGGGCCTGCAGGCACACACAGCACAAGCCCAGCCACCAGCGTGCTGCCTGGTGCCAGCAGCAGAGGGAGGTGCCTAGACAGTCACCCGCTGGGCTGGTCTATTGGGAACGGGAGTCAAGCTCTGACATCCGCCCTAGCCCAGGACTGTGACTGACCCAGGCCCCTTGGCAGTGGGGCTGCAGCGGTTACCTAGGAAACACGATCTCTCTCTCCTGGAGGCTGCTGCCCCGTGGAGAGCTGAGCTCTCAGCCCAGAACAAAACCCCAACGTGCTCATGCCCTCGCTGCTGCCCCTGGAGAAATCTCACCTCTTCTTCAATGATCCCGACAGCAAATCCGTGAGAGGCAGCGGTGGGTGGTGGCAGCGGGAGAGGTTGGCTCTGGTGGCCCTGACTGGCCAGGAGGAGGGGCTAGGTGGAGGTGAGTCCGGGGCTAGAGAACGGGTGTGTGTGCCAGGAGGTTATTCAATCGGGGCACGTCCTTGGCACCATAGTCATGTGTCAACGTCCTCTGCTGAGGGCACCCCAAAGCCCATTGTCCTGAGTCACAGAACCCTAGAAAGGTCCCTCGGGAGGGCTCAGCTGTCAGCACTGGCAGGACCAAGTGGACCTGGCCCGTCCCGACTTGAGCTTACAGGCCTCCAATGACGGGGATTCCACAACCTCCAGTGGCAGCTTCTTCCAGAGCTTAACTGCCCTTATACATCGAAAGGGCTTCCTAGTATCTAACCTCAGTCTCCCCTGCTGCAGCTTAAGCCCATCACGTCTGTTCTACCTTCAGTGAACGTGGAGAACAATTGATCCCTGTGCTCTTTAGAACAGTCCTTCACAGCTCTGAAAACTGCGAACAGGTCCCCTTCAGTCGTCTTTTCTCAAGACGGAACGTGCCCAGTTTTCTGAACCTGTCCTCAGAGGTCAGGCTGGCTAAACCTTTTCTTGTCATTTTGGTGACTCTGGCCGCTCCAATTTGTGCCCATCTTTCCAAAGCGCAGCGCCCACAATTGGACCCAGGACTCCAGCTGAGGTTGCACCAGTGCCAAGCAGAGCGGGACAATGACCTCCCGGTTCTTACGTCTGACACTCCTGTAATACACCCAGAACAATATTAGTCTTTGTCCCAGTCGCATGACACTGTTGACAGACTGTAACCTCCAGATCCGTGTCTGCAGCACTGTTTGTAGTTTGCAATTGATTTTTCCTTCCTATGTGCAGCACTTCGCACTTTCCTGTGCTGAATTTCATCTCGATGATTTCAGACCAATTCTCCAATGTAGCAAGAGCCTTTTGAATTCTAATCCCGCCCTCCAAAGTGCTTGAAACCCCTCCCAGCTTGGTGTCATCTGCAGATTTTTTTAAGCATACCATACGCTCCATTATCCAAATCATTTCATGAAAATGAGTCTGGACAGATGCTTGTGGTACCCCAATAGATACATCCCCCCAGTTTGACGGTGAACCACTGACAGTTACTCTTTGAGTACAGTCTTCCAACCAGTTTTGCACTCAATTTATAGTAATTTAATCTAGACCACATTTCCCTAGTTTGCTTATGATAATGTCATGTGGGACTATGTCAAAAGCCTCGCTAAAATCAAGATCTATCATGTCTGCAGCTTCCCCTCTACGCACTAGGCCAGTAACCCTGTCAAAGAAGGAAATTAGTTGGTTTGGCCTGATTTGTTCTTGACAAATCCATGCTGGCTATTCGTTATCACACTGCTATCCTCTAGATATTTCTTAGAGCTGTCAAGCAATTAAAAATATTAATCGTGATTAATCACGCGATTAATCACACTGTTAAACAATAATAGAATACCATTTATTTAAATATTTTTGGGTGTTTTCTACATTTTCAAATATATTGATTTCGGTCACAACACCGAATAAAAAGTGTACAGTGCTCACTTTCTATTTATTTGTAGTACAAATATTTGCATTGAAAAAACAAAAGAAACAGTATTTTTCAATTCACCTAATACAAGTACTGTAGTGCAATCTCTTTATCATGAAAGCTGAACTTACAAATGTAGAATTATGTATGAAAAAAAACTGCATTCAGAAATAAAACAATATAAAACTTTAGAGCCTACAAGTCCACTCAGTCCTACTTCAGCCAATCGCTCAGACAAACAAGGAGATAATGCTGCCCGCTTCTTATTTACAATGTCACCTGAAAGTGAGAACAGGCGTTCACATGGCACTATTGTAATCAGTGTCGTAAGGTATTTACATGCCAGATGCACTAAAGCTTTGTGTGTTCCTTCATGCTTCAACCACCGTTCCAGAGGACATGCATCCATGCTGATGACGGGTTCTGCTCGATAACAATCCAAAGCAGTGCAGACCGATACATGTTCATTTTCATCATCTGAGTCCGATGCCACCAGCAGAATTGTTTTTTTGTTTGTTTGTTTTTTGTGTGGTTTGGGTTCTGTAGCTTCCGCATCAGAGTGCTGCTCTTTTAAGTCTTCTGAGCGCATGTTCCACACCTCGTCCCTCTCCGATTTTTTAAGGCACTTCAGATTCTTAAACCTTGAGTTGAGTGCTGTAGCTATTTTTAGAAATCTCACATTGGTACCTTCTTTGCATTTTGTCAGATCTGCAGTGACAGTGTTTGTAAATCAAACAACGTGCTGGGTCATCAGCCGAGACTGCTATAACATGAAATATATGGCAGAATGCGGGTAAAACAGAGCAGGGGACATACAGTTCTCCCCCAAGGAGTTCAGTCACAAATGTAATTAAAGCACTATTTTTTTTAACTAACATCATCAGCATGGATGCATGTCGTCCAGAATGATGGCTGAAGCATGAAGGGGCATATGAATGTTTGACATATCTGGCAATTAAATACCTTGCAATACCGGCTACAGAAGTGCCATGAGAACGCCTGTTCTCACTTTCAGGTGACATTATAAACAAGAAGCGGGCAGCATTATCTGCCATAAATATAAACAAACTTGTTTCTCTTAGCAATTGGCTGAACAAGAAGTAGGACTGAGTGGACTTGTAGCCTCTAAATTTTTACGTTGTTTTGTTATGGACTGCAGTTATGTAACCAAACAAATCTACATTTGTAAGTTACACTTTTCAGGACAAAGAGATCACAATACAGTACTTGTCTGAGGTGAACTGAAAAATACTATTTCTTTTGTCATTTTTACAGTGCAAATATTTGTAATAAAAAATAATATAAAGTGAGCTCTTTACACTTTCTATTCTGTGTTGGAATAGAAATCAGTATATTTGAAAATGTAGAAAAATCCAAAAATATTTAATACATTTCAATTGGTTTATATTGGTTAACAGTGAGATTAATCGCAATTATTTTTTTAATCACAGTTAATTTTTTTTAGTTGATCACATGAGTTAATTGTGATTAATTAACAGCCCTAATATTTACCAATTGTTTGATTAATCATTTGTTCCAGTATTGTTCCAGGCATTGAAGTTAGGCTGACTGGTTTATAATTCCTCAGGTCTTCTTTGTTCCCCTTTTTAAAGATAAGTTCTGTGTTTGCCCTTCTCCAGTCCTCTGGGACCTCTCCTGTCCTCCATGAGTTCTCAAAAATAATTGCTAACAGCTGGAAGGTTTCTTCAGCTAGTTCCTTCAATACCCTAGGATGAATTTCATCAGACTCTGCCGCTTTCAATACATCTAACTTATCTCTATATTTCCCTAGCTTGGCTTGTGTTCCTTCCCCCTTGTTGTTAATATTCATTGTGTTAAGTATCTGGTCACATTTTACCTTTTTAGTGAAGACTGAAGCAAAATAGGCAGTAAACACCTCGGGCATCTTGAGGTCGTCCATTATTCGCTCTCCTTGTCTTTTATGCCCCTTGCTCGGGGTAACTCATGTTGTCCCTATAGGGGGTGGGGGTGGGGGTGTGCGCTCCCCTTAGCAATTTGTCCATGTTTCCACTTTCTGTGGGATCCTTTTTGATTTTCAGGTCATTCAAGAGCTCCTGATGCAGCCATACTGGCTTCTTACTAATCTTCCTGCCTTTCCCTTGCACCGGGATAGTTTGTTGTTGCACCTGGTACTGTCTCTTTGAGAACTGCCAGCTCTCTGGAATTCCTTTTCATTTTGATTTTCTTCCCATGGGACCTCACCTACCAGTTCGCTGAGTTTGTTAAAGTGCGTCTTTTTGTAATCCATTGTCCTTATTCGGCTGCTCTCATACCTTCCCTAGACTCCTGAAATCTGTCATTTCATGACCACTTTCACCCAGCTTGCCTTCAACCTTCAGATTCGCTACCAATGCCTCCCTGTTGGCCAGGCTCAAGTCTACAATGGCAGTCACCCCGCTTACATCCTGCACCTTCCTGAAACCAGACCTTATCCCCAGGACATTCCAAGAACTTATTGGGCAGTTGGTGTTTTGCTGGATTACATTTCCAGCAGATGTCTGAGCAGGGCCAGTGCCCCTAACTACTAGGTCTTGTGTTTGGGATATTTCTGTTTGTTCTAGAAATGCCTCACCCACCTCCTCTTACTAATTGGGTCCCTACTACCATCACCCCTATTTCTTCACCCAGAGCCTGTCAACTGCTCTGCCTCTCACCTCCTGAACCTCAGGACAGGGGTATATGTTCTTGGCATGTAATGAACCCCCCTCCCCCCGCCTTTTCCCGGTTTGTCCTCCTGATCAAGCTGCCCCCTCCTCCACCGATGTTCCAGGCAGGAGACTTCTCCCCCCGTGATGCCTGTGAAGTCAAACACCTGCAGGGCACTTTGCTCCAGGTGCCGCGCTGGCAGCCAGAGCAGGGACTTTCCAGTGTGGATTTTGACTAATCCTTAGGGGACCTCAGCCAGAGGAAACCCCCTGTTGGGCCGGTCCTGCTCCGGGCTCATGTCAAGTGAAGTCTGTAAAATGGGAGCAATCAGATGGGTCAATTAAAGTGCCACCTCTGGGGCTTCCAGTCAGCTGCTTGGTCCAAAGGGAGCCCCATCTCCGTCCGCCTGCACCTCCAGCTATCGCCTGCAGGAGGCTCCAGCTGCCTGGGCGGAGGAGGGGGATCCACTCCCCCTCCACACCGGACCGGGGGCAGGGTCCGGCGCCTCAGGCTCTGGTCAAACCCAGTGACATTCCAGCAGGGAGCAGGCGAGAGGCTCCTGCCTCTCCCTAGGGACGCCCAGACCCCTCGGCGGAGCACACGGGCCTTGGCCGGGTTCTTCTCTGCCTTGGAGGGAGGTGGCTCTTGTAGTGATTTGAGTCCCCCAAAGCCCTGCTCTGGTTTAGAGCAGCGGTCCCAGGAAGTGTCCTCTCCCTCTCCCAGCATAGTCTCTCCTTAGCGCACTGGCTGCGTGGTCGTGCACCCAGGGCCCGCGCTTGTTAGCGTCCAGCCATGGCTACACCTGCTCCGATCATCGCTCGGACACGCCCTGTTGCACCAACTCCTGCCTAATGGGTTTGTCCTTGAATCCTGCTGCTACTAATGCACCGGACTTTGACAGGTGCGAATCACTGCGTTCACAGGTCCCCCATGGACACCTCCACTCTCCCCCACACCCCTCGGGCGGGAGGGGCCCCAAAGAGGGCTGGGGGGGGTGGTAAATAGCTCTGGCACCAAAGGGGTCTCGTTCCCCTCTCAGACCCCCAAAGGCTGAACTGGTCCCGCTGCCGGTTCCTGACACGTTCGGCCCGAGCCGAGCTCTGGAGAATTTCAGCCCAAGGGGCAGAGGCGATGCCCCTTCTCATGGAAAGGCGACACTAATCCGAGGGCTGGCAGCTGTGCAGGGCCCGGTGCTCGCTTATCTCTGTAACTTCCCCTCACCCCCCTGGCTCGGGCTCCGGGGCGGTTCACTTTGGGCCTCCTGGAGCTGAGCAGCTGCGTGCCAAGAGCCTGGCACCCGGCACTTCACTGCCGTGGGAAGCGAAAGTCCCTTTCGAGTCTGGGTGCTGTGCGCGGAAGATGAACCGCTCAGGCGCCCCGGCTGCCTCCGCCACCCTGCTCGGGCCCAGGAGCCAGGAGGTACCGTGCACTTCATGGGACTTGCCCCAAGCCAGCAGCGATCGGTAACCTGCGGGGTTGCTCGGGAGCAGAGCATTTGGCTGCAAGAAACAGAACTGCAGGCAGCCCGAGGCTAGGCTCCAGGTGTCACTCCGGCGTGGAGGGAACCATGTTCCCTCCAGTCTCATTGTCCGCCTCCCTTCCCCAGCTCTCTCCCCCTGCCTGCAGCACCTTCAGCCCCTCGGGTCCTGCTCTGGCTTTAGACCTGAACGGCACCAGCTCCGAGGGGCCTCTCTGGCCGGGCTCTCAGGTACCCACCCGGCTGTCCGGGAAACCCCATCTTCAGCCTCCATCTGTGCGAGCCCTTCCCTGGCCCTGACGGAGGGGAGCCTCTGGCCGGGGGGTGCCGAGGCAGAGAGAATCAGGGACTTGCTGGGTCCCGCAGCCGCCTGGCCGGGGCAGGGGCAGAACCCGGCTCGGTGCCCGGGCACAAGCCCCGCCTGGCTGACGGGGTTGCTTCACTAGGACGAGCCTGTGGGGCTCCCCGGGCCGGTGGTTTGTCTGGACCCTGCCGGCCCCGCGGTGCCCAGGGGCGGGCAGCCCCCGGCGGGAGCACGTGGAGGGCGGCGCGGCGGCTCGCGGGGAGGTGACGGGCGGCGCCCGCCCGCTCCCTGCCTCCCTCCGCCCGTGGGCAGCCCGGCGCTGCAGCCCGCTCGCAGCCGGGGGAGAGGGGCTCCCTCCTCCGGCCTCGGGGCGTCTCTCCCGGCCGGGCAGGCGGAGCCCCCGGGGGCTGCAGGAGGTGCCGGCTCAGCCGCTCCTTTAAAGGCGGCTCGGCCGGGCCGGGCTCAGAGCGGCGCGGGAGGCGGAGGCCGGTGCAGGCGGCAGGGAGCCGGGCGGCACGGTGAGCGGGGCGGGGATCGCTAGTTCTTGCCCCCCGGGCCGGGGTCCGCGCCCCGCGGGGCTGGGCTGGGCTGGGGGAGCCGGCCGGGGGCTCCGGAGCTGCGGAGCGGGGAGCCGGCCGGGGGCTCCGGAGCTGCGGAGCGGGCTGCAGGGTGAGAGGCGCCCCGGCCCCCTTGGGTCCTGCCGGCCCCCGCCCGTCTCCTCTCTCCGGTCCCTGGGCTCTCCGCGCCCGCCCAGCTGCGGCAGCCAGCGGGAGTGGGCAGCGTCCGGCAGGAAGGCACTGGGGTCTCTGGCCCCTTCTCGGCCCCGCTTCCCCAGCCCGGCTTTGCAGAGCTCCCCCGGGGACTGGAGGTGAGAGCCGGGGCCTGCCTCGCAGGGTGGGCAGCAGGCGGGGGCGGCTGGCAGGGTGCTGCACATCCCTGGGAGGGGAGCCTGCCCTGTGGCTCCCCTGAAATCCTCCAGGTTCTCCTGTGGGGGGCCCTTCTCCCCGGTGCTCTCCCCACCAAGAGATCTGAGCTGAGCCTGCCCCCCCCCCCCCACTGTCTGCTCCAGCCCCAGCGCTGGTCTCCCACCCTGGGGCACGGCCAGATCCATACAGCCCTGGGGGCAAAGGGCTGGGCCCTACGTTGCCTGGAGTGCACCGGGGCCATGCGAGCTAGTGCTGGGTTGATGCTCACAGGGGCCATAGAGCCTCCCTTACCCTGGCACACCGAGGCTGGTGGTTTGTGTAGCCCGGCTTCCTGCCTGGTGCCTCGTCCTCTGGCCTTGCACATGGCCCGGAGCCAAGGGAGACACTCAGGTGGAGGAACAGAGAGCCCCACAACCCGGCCACCTTGCAACCTGCATGTTCCCTGCTCCACCCAGCAGGTTAGCCCCTGCCTTCTGGCACCTCGCATGTGGAGCAGAAACCAGCAGGCAGGGCTGGTGGGTCCCTACCCCTCACGCACAGGGATTGGCCTGACCCGGGGCACTGGGGTAGCTGTGAAGTGCAATTGGCAGGAGAGGTCAATCATTCCTTTCCTGTAAGCCCATGGAGGCCAGGTGCTGACTGGCCCCTTCCCAGGAGCAGAGACTCCTCTTAGGAGTGGGGTTCTCAAGCAGACAGGGACTCCCTGTATTTATCCCCCCCACACATGTGCACGCAAGGCCCAGGACCTCTGTAAGGGCAGTGAGCCCCTGGCTGCTCCGTCCTGCTGCGGGGTCGGCTGGGAGCGGGACAAAGGCATCCTTCAGCAAAGCCCAGCTCTGCTCCGGCGGGGCCTGGCACCCGGCAGTCTGGGTGTGCGGGCTCCTGGCTATCAGCTGGAAAGGTGCCATAGCCTGCATGGCTGTTGGCAGCTCTGCAGCAACCCCTCTGGCGTCTCCCCTTGTACGCCCTCTGTTATCGGAGAGCCTCGCTCACCTGCGTGACTAGGAATGAAAGGCTCTTGGCCAAGTCTCTAGCTCTTCCCCCCGGGGAAGCATGGCTCTGTACTTTCCCACCGGTGACTGGCTCTGTGGGGCGAGACCACTGGCTGCAGCCCCCCTGTCCAGGCTCTGGTTTCCTGTAGCTTGGGGGCCCAAAGGAGAGCCTTCCAGTGTCTCTGGCTGCTGACCTTCCTCGTCCCTCTGACACAGCTTGGTAGCTGGGGATGGCCAGGGCAAGTGCCAGCAGGCCTGAGGCCCCAGGATATGGGGCCAAGTCCCTCCATCGCGCTGGCTTTGTACTAAGCTTTGGGATTGAGTCCAGTACCTGCTCAGAAAGGAGCAGAGGAAACAAATCCTCCAGGTGAGGGAGAGCCTGCGTCCTGGGTGACAGGGGGTCTCTGTGTCCCTGATAGAGACCTGGGAACCGCCCTCTTCCAGGCCTGTGTTGTGGTCAGCAGCCTTGTGGCTGGGAGGCTGTAGCTGGTCTCCTCACAAGACCCCTACAATCCGGTGGGCTAGTGCAGCATGTAAGGAGACTGTGTCTGAAGGACCAAGAGCAGAGCAGGGCTCTCCGGCTGGGCCCGCCCCAGAGGAACCGAACGTAATCTGGCTGGCTGGGGAAGGCAACGCTTCCCCGCTGTAGGGGGGATGGATGGAGCAGGGGAGCTGCATTAGATCAGGAAAGGGACTGATAGCCCAGCCCCTTCTCACTAGGGATGACGCGGGACAGACCTCTTCCTCTTTGCTGCAGGTCTGGGGAGCAATGACACGTGTCTGACTTGGGTGTGCAGTTGCTGTGATTGCTTGTGCAAATGGCTGCCTATGCACTTTTGCACACTTGTGCAGTCCATGTGTCATGCACCATCAAGCAGTCGCATGCTCAGCTCTCTGAAGTGTTTGGTCCTGAGAGCTCAGAACCTGAAGCCTGTGTTCAAATTGTGTGGGTTTTCTGGTTGCTGGGTGACAGTGTTTTACACCCTGCAGAGAGGAGCTGTTCCAAGGGCCTGCCTTTGAATGGCCAGCAACAGCGCACGAGAAGTGGGCATCTGGCTAGGGTAACAGACACAACTCTGTGCATGAGGCCAATATTGGGGCGGGGGGGAATGTGTGTGTTGGGAGGGGAAATAAACCTTTCCTCCTGCATTTGAAATGCAGTGGGCCAGCCTGGTTCCTGTATACAGAGCCAGTGTCCAGTCATAGCCTGGCTTTGTGACAAGTCTTTGGCCACTTCTGGGAGAGGATGCTTTGATTTCTAGCACTAGTTCTGAGGAGACCTGAGCCTGGCTGGGATTCACATGCAGAAACTCTAGGGAGAGTAGCCAACCTGTCTGCCCTTGACAAGTCACCTGCGGCGGGCGCGGGTTGTGAAGCAGCAGAAACAGTCGCAGATGCAGTGACACTCGGTGTTTGGTTGTGTGAGTGGCTGGCTGTGAACTGCTCCTGGGTGGCTCAGAGCTGAAGGTCTCTGGGAAGGTGACTCCCACATAACCCACTAGGCGATCTCACGGGGGGAGGAATCCCTGCAGAGGGGGTTAGCCGGCACTTCTGGCAGCTGCTCCTTCACTGCTGGGGAAAGTGAGTGTGTGCCCTGGGTGTGGCGACAGCCGTGTGCACAGTGCTTTCCAGAGTGCAGACTGGCTTGCCAGCTAACCGAGACCCCAAGCGATGGCAGGCCCTTGTCTGCAACCTGGAGGGCAGGAGGGCAGTAGGGAGCTGACTTGGCGATCCCCATTGGTTGAAGGGGAGTATGAAGTCTCCAATGCACTTCAGGCTGGCCCAGGGCTCTGGACTGTTGCCAGGAATGGGACCCCCTCCCCTTCTGTAGCACCCTTCCCTGGTCCTGCCTTCAGTACCCAAGTGAGCCCTGCTAACTGGCATGCTGCCAGAAGGAAGGCCCCCTGCTCTGCCAGCTGGGTGACTGGAGGAAGGGTTGCTTGGGCCCCCCCGGGCAGCACCATTGCTTCTGTGGCTTTGCTGTCTGACCTCAGCCTGCCCTGTGGGCTTTGGGTTGCACCCCTAACATAGCCTCTGGTTCCTTCTCTTTGGACAGATGCCAGTGAGCTTTGCCACGGCCCTTCGTGTTTTTGGTACCAGCCTCTTCGCCTTGGTGGTGCTGGGAGGCATCCTTGCAGCCTACATCACTGGCTACCAGTTCATCCACACCGAGAAGCACTACCTCTCCTTCGGCCTGTATGGTGCCATCCTGGGCCTGCACCTCTTCATCCAGAGCCTCTTTGCCTTCCTGGAGCACCGGCACATGCGGCTCGAGGGGCGGCCCCTGAAGCTGCACCGCTCCGTGGCGCTCTGCATCGCTGCCTACCAGGAGGACCCCGACTACCTGAAGAAATGCCTGCGCTCGGTGAAGCGCATCTCCTTCCCCGACCTCCAGGTGGTGATGGTGGTGGATGGCAATGGCCAGGATGACACCTACATGCTGGAGATCTTCAATGAGATCCTGGGCTCCGAGAAAACGGGCTGCTATGTCTGGAAGAGCAACTTCCATGAGAGGGGCGAGGGGGAGACGGACAGCAGCCTCCAGGAGAGCATGGGGCACATCCAACAGCTGGTGCGGAACAGCACCTACTCCTGCATCTTGCAGAAGTGGGGGGGGAAGCGCGAGGTGATGTACACAGCCTTCCGAGCGCTCGGGGACTCCGTGGACTACATCCAGGTGGGTGGCCAGCTCCTGGGGGCGGCTGGAGGGTGTAACGGCGGGGGAGAGGGGTGACGCTCCCGCCTTGGAGGGCACGTCCAGGAACAGTGACCATGCAGCTCTCGCTGGGCTTTCCACGCAGCTCTCGCGCTAACCAGTGGGGAGCCGTTTCATTTTTCTTTGCTTTGAAATACTAAGTGAAGGAGGGGCTGGGGTGGCGGAATCTGCTGCCTCAGGACAGGGGCAGCACAGCCTTTGCTGTACCTTGCCTGGGCGGGAGGGACTGCAAGGCTAGGCCGAGATCTGTCCCAGCCGATGCACCGGGGATTGGCTGGCTCAGGCAGACCAGAGAGCCAGAGCGAGGAAGGGTTAGTGGTGAAGGCTGAGAGTTGGGACACTGCACTCCCAACTGACTCCTGGCACGGTCTGGTCCTGGCTCCGAACCCACCTTCTCCAGATCCAGCCCAGCCTTCCTGTGGGATTCGTTTGTGCCCAAAGCGTTTGAGATCCTCTACGGGGCAGTGCAAGGGCAGGGAGACTGGGCTGGCGGCTGCCCTCAGTGGCTGTGTATGTAGCAGTGCATCAGACAGGCTGCTCAGGGCATGCGGGGGACGCAGCAGTGGCACAGTCACTGTCCTCAGTCCTGTCCCTTTCCTTTGTGCAGCCCCTGCCAGCTCTCTGTCCTGTTCTACCTCTGCTCGGCGCTGTGTGCAGGGAGCCTGGGGCTCTGGTCCGTAGGGCTCCTCCAGCTTACAGTTCCCGCCCGCTGGCGGGTTGTGTGTTCCTGACCTGAACTGTACAAAGCCCTCAGTGATCCCCCTGCCCAGCGAGAACTGAATTACCCAGGGGAGTTCATGTGAGCCATGGGAGGGGTAACCCTGGCTCAAAAGGCTTCGCCCAAGACACATGCCCAGGAGTTGAGATGCTCTTGGGTTGCAGATCTGGTCTGGAGCTCTCCCAAGAACAGGATTTCTTGGGAGCTCCTCCTGCCTCCTGTTGGGGTCCCACCAGCAGCCAAGAGGTGTGAGCCTGTGACGCCTGCCTCTGGGGGAAATACAAGCTCCGTAGGCCAGGGTTCGGGAGACGCTAAGGGAAGGAAAGGAGGTGAGATGCCCGTGCCAGGTAACAACGTCCCCATCCCCCAACCACCCGGGGGAATAGCACTCAGCCTGGGGGCATGCCACATGTGGGACTAACCCCCTAAACTGGCAGCCAGCCTCGAAGGGCTTAGCAGAGGCCAGCTCAGGAAAGTGAGGGCACATGCTGGCTCAGGGAGCAGTAGCTGTATTCACATGCATGCAGAGAGGCAGGAATTGGTTCTTGGGGGAAGGAGGGTGCTGGAGCTCTCTGCAAACCCGTGGGCTAGCCAAGCACGGGGGAGTGCGACCCTCTCTTCCCACTGGGCTGAGAGAGTCCAGAGCAGCTGTTGCACAGAGGATCCTGCCCTGAGTGGGCCGTGGCCAAATAGGCAGATTGGGTCCCTCCAAGAATGAGACTTGGGGAGTGCAGGGCCGTCGTCCCTGGGGGGGGGCCCGTGGCTTCTGGGATCGCTGCTCCTCTTTCCTGGCAGTGAGGCACTAGCAAAGGGCCGTGGTGCACTGGAGAGCCAAGGTTCAGGCCCCAGTTCTGTAGTGCCACAGATGTGCAGGCCACTCTAGAAAGAGGCAGAGATGGTGGAGACAGCAGGATGGGCAGGGCTGGAGGGGCACAGGGCTGTAACCCGGGTGGCACAGGGGAGCGGAGCTCAGGATGGCTTCCTGCTTGCCACAGAATCCTAGGTGTAAAGCCCGTCTAGCCTAGACCCTCCCTGCCAGACTCTGCTCCAGGTCTTTGTGCAGTCCAGTGGCTGGGGCAGCAACCCCTTCCCCTGGGAGATGATTCCACAGCCCCCGATCTCCGTATGAGCGAATCCCCCTGGCTGGCCTGTGCCCTGATCTCCGGAGACCCAGCTAGGTGAGACCAGACCAATCCCTCTCCCGGCTCTTCTCTGACCTCCCTTCAATTTGTCACCCTCCTTCCGGCATTGAGTTGCCCAGCACTGAGCGTGGGATCCCTGCTCTGACCCCCCAGTGCCGTACAGAGGGGGCCTGACTCTGCTGCGACCCTCTGCTCTTTCCTCGCTGCTCCAGCTGAGGGGAGGCACTGCTGAGGAGCCAGGAGGGTGCAGGTGGCTCTCACCAAGGTGTTGGGCATGAGAAAACCGTGTCAGTACATTGAGGAAGCCCTGCACCGGTGTCCGAGGTACTCATCGTTCTGGGACCCATACGTTAGCCGGAATGGCTGGAGGGCGCTTTGCCCCGAGAGGAGAAAGGCCGTCTCGGCGCTCGCCTTGCCAGGCCAGCAGCCTTGCCAATGTGCATGGCATTCCCGTGCACTGCCACAAGCAGGAACTGCTGTTCCCCGGCAAGCACCGAGCATGCCCCAGCCATGGCCACTTGCTCTTTGGGCCCTGTGAGACGCGAACCCTGCGGCAAATGGCTAATGCCTGGATGGTGCCAGGTCTCCCTACTGCTCCTCTGGCACTGCCACTTCAGCTCCTGGAAGCAGAACTACCTCATGACCTCTTCCCCCCACCCCTCTGCAGTGAGACGCTTCACCCCTGCCCCCTAACGGCAGACTCCTCTTCCGTGCCAACTTCCTAGCACAGAGACATGTCTCTCTTCCCTCCAGCCCCCCTCAGGGGCACAGCCCTGCCTGGGCTCAGAACTAGGGCCCCGGCTGCCCCTGTGCTCTGCATGGTTCTGTGAGCGCAGAGCAAGGAGGAAAGGTGATGTGGGCAGTACCATGCTGCTCCCCTGCTGGAGCTCCTCAGTCCGGTTGTGCCCATCTGCTGTTTTGCAGATGCCCTGTGGCTGCGTATGCCCCGGGCAGCCTCTCAGAATGGACTCCTGGAGCTGCCCCATAGGCCCAGCGTGTCCGTGGCAGGACAGGCCTCTGCCCTAGGGCTTGCTCTGCGGTCCTTTGTCTAGTCCAGTTCTAAGTGACTCGGGCTTTGCTGGGGGCAGGGTTGGAGGCTGGGCTCCCGCGGCGTGCGTGGAAGGGAGCTGGAGGCTTAGGCCGAGCAGACCGTGACGTTCTCTCTCTGCTCGGTAGGTGTGCGACTCAGACACGGTCCTGGACCCAGCCTGCACAGTGGAGATGCTGCGCATTTTAGAGGGGGACCCACGAGTGGGCGCAGTTGGTGGAGACGTTCAGGTACGAACCCGAGGGCCGAGTGAGACTGCCCTGAACTCCCAGAGCCAGCCGAGCCCAGGGAATGCAGGGCCACTCGGGGGTAGGGTGCGGGGATTGCTTGGCTCCTCTGGGGTTGGGTGCCAGGTTCAAAGTGAGCCTGGACGTGCTGCTGCTGAGTGGGTGGGGAACCAGTCCCTGTGCCAGTGCTGGGGGGGGGGGAGGGGTTAGTGCCATATCCAGGCCTGGGGATGCCAAGGCAAGAGGCTCTATAAAATCCTAGGGTAGAGGGAGCATCCTGGAACAGCCCCGGAGGAAGCTTTCACCGCGGCTCAGAGCCAGCCTGCACGCTGTGCTGAGCCAGGTGCCACGTGCTCTGGCAGTGATCGTGAGGCGCACCTGGGGTGGCGGCTCTGCATGGCAGTGCAGGTTCTGGCCTCACCCTGTAGGCACAACCAGTGGGGAGGGGAGGGGCGGGGCAATGTCCCTCTGCCCCCATCCTACTGCTGCCTGCTGTGGGGCTCCTCTGTGACTGGTGTGAGGCTGGCAGGTGCCTCCCTGAATAACTGGGCAGCAGGGCTGAGGTCCTGGAGGCACCTCATTTCTCCTTAGAACGGCCACGGTGCCTGTCTGCGCTGGTCTCTGCCCTGCAGGCCTGGCCGCGTGCACACGAAAAGCTGGCTACTGCTGTCGCTCTGAGAGCAAGGGCCTCTCGCAGCAGGGCTCCCCTGCATGGGCAGACTGTGGGCGCTGCTGGGGGCGATGCTGCTCTCCTTGCCTCGGCTGGGGAGGGAAGCCCTGCAGGGCTACGTACGAATGGCGTCTCCTTACACGTCTTGCCTTTCCAGATCCTCAACAAGTACGACTCGTGGATCTCCTTCCTGAGCAGCGTGCGGTACTGGATGGCCTTCAACGTGGAGCGGGCCTGCCAGTCCTACTTCGGCTGCGTGCAGTGCATCAGCGGCCCCCTGGGCATGTACCGCAACACCCTCCTGCAGCACTTCCTGGAGGACTGGTACAATCAGAAGTTTCTTGGCAGCAAGTGCAGCTTTGGGGATGACAGACACCTCACCAACCGTGTCTTGAGCCTAGGGTATAGGACTAAGTACACCGCCCGCTCCAAGTGCCTGACCGAGACTCCCACCAAATACCTCCGCTGGCTCAACCAGCAGACTCGCTGGAGCAAGTCCTACTTCAGGGAGTGGCTCTACAACGCCTTGTGGTTCCACAAGCACCACCTCTGGATGACCTACGAGTCTGTGGTGACTGGCTTCTTCCCCTTCTTCCTCATTGCCACGGTCATCCAGCTGTTCTACCGCGGCCGCATCTGGAACATCCTCCTCTTCCTCCTGACTGTGCAGCTGGTGGGGATCATCAAGGCCACCTACGCTTGCTTCCTCCGGGGCAATGCGGAGATGATATTTATGTCCCTCTACTCCCTGCTCTATATGTCCAGCCTCCTGCCGGCCAAAATGTTCGCCATCGCCACCATCAACAAGTCAGGCTGGGGCACCTCCGGCCGCAAAACCATTGTGGTCAACTTCATCGGCCTCATCCCCGTTTCTGTGTGGGTCGCTGTCCTGCTGGGAGGCCTGGCCTACACGGCGTACTGCCAGGACCTCTTCAGTGAGACGGACCTGGCCTTCCTCATCTCTGGTGCCATCTTGTACGGCTGCTACTGGATGGGGCTCCTCATGCTCTACATGGCCATCGTTGCCCGGCGCTGTGGGAAGCGGCAGGAGCAGAGCAGCCTGGCTTTTGCCGAGGTGTGACAGGTGGGGGGGCTCTGGATGGAGTGGGGAACGTGCAATGGGAAAGGATTAGTGCATTGTGCGGGGGCAGGTGGGGGTGGGGAGGAGACGGGATTTTATTTGTGGGTTTTTAAATTGCTGTCCAAGGAGCGAGTTCCTGGGCTAGTGAGTCTGAACGCCACCCGAGGAGAGGCTGCTTGTTGCCCAGCAGAGCACACTTCAGGTAGCCTGGGCCATGCACGCCTGCCCGCAGGTGCGGTGACTCCAGCGTTTGAGGCCCATCCTACTGCTGGAGGAGTGGGAAATCCCCCGAGGCAGCTTCCCGCCTTTCCAACACTTGCGATGGCTCCGGTGGAGATCCCTGTCTGCCACCTGCCAGGGCACAAAATCCTGTGTGGGAGCAGCACTGAGCTCCACTGGTGTGGGAGAGGCCCTGGGCCGGAGGTGGGACAGGAGGCATTGCCTGCAGTCTCCAACGTGAGCATTAAGGCTCCAGGGGAGGCCTGCTCCCCAGGAGCCAGGGAGAGTGCTCTGTGCTCCCCCTGCCCACCAGTAGGGACAGCAGTGCTCACTGAAATGAATTCATACTTCAAAAGAATCCAAGTTTGCGAACACTTTGTCCTGAGCTGTAGAGCAGGAGCTCTGGTGGCACTGGCAGCATGGTAGGTGACACAGTAAGTTGGCTGCAATGTGTGCCCCTGGAGCCCTGATTCCTGCCTGGGGCCCGCGAAAGAGGCTGAGAGGGGCACTGCTTAACCAGAGCCAGGGCCTGCTCCGAGCTGGGCTCGGCCAGGCCCTGTGCCTCTTTGGTGCTGGTCTATAAACTCTGGCAGCGGGGACTGCCCACGGGAGTCAGGGCTCACGAGGTCCAAGGCAGGTATGGTGAAGGCTCCCCTCCCCCTGGGAAGGCGTGCCCCAACATCTCTGCAGGAGAAGCTGTGCTTGGCAGGCTGTGAGCTCCCTCCCTCTTGTGCTTTACCGTCCAGACACTGGATTCCCTGTCAGTCTTGCATTCTCCCCAGGCAGGAAAATGGTCCATAAATATTCAATTTATTTAAGAGGGCAGAAACACCCCCTCCCCCCACCCCCCCGCACAGGCCTGTGGATTTAATGCTGTGAACTAGGGAGGGTAACCTGTGGCTCTCCTGAGGCTTTGTGCTGGGGCGGGGGCTGCTTTGCTCAGGACACTGCAGTCCTTTCCCTGGTGCGGTGAAGAGATGTCTCCAACTTGACATGAGAGTTTCCAAGGCAGGGGGAAGGATCCTCCCCTGAGAGGGCCCAGATGGCAGCAGTTGGGCCGCCTGGACTGGACCATTCTTTGCCGTTCTGAAGCGGCTTCCTCAGTCCTTTTCCTTGAGCCACTTGAAAAGGGGAATGATCCTGGCCTCCCGCAGGGATCTGCCGCAGGTCTGTATGGCCCAGCTGCCTCCAGCACTCTCCCATGGCTCCTTCTGATCCAAAGCCCTGGGCATGAGGGCAGTGTGCGCCCACGGTGCTGATGGCGGGAGGAGCTGCTGCTCCGCTGTGCCACTCACCCCCAGGCAGGGGGGCTGTGCCCTGGGGTCACTGCCAGGGGCAGTGGGGCACACTCTGCCCAACTCAGCCCAGGGCCTGGCTTGTCTGTTCCTCAAAGGCTGAGGCAATATGGCTCCATTTTTAGCCATTGCTGTGCTCAGAGGAACATCCCTACAACGGCCAGACCAAGAGCAATAACCCGAGCCAGCCTGCTGCTAGGGCCACGGGGCCGCGCACAGCTCGAGTGCCCTACGGTGCCAAGGCCCACGGCAGGGTCACCTGGGGCCTCTCGGGATGGCTGCCTCTGCCCCCCATTCAGCATCACCCGGTGCTTACGAGCGACCTGTGGGCCAGACTGTGCCAGCAGCTGAGGGCGAAGGCAGAAAGGTGAGTGGCTGCATTCAGATTACATGGCTCTGAGCTTTCCTCCTCCCCTGCCTGTCCCCTGGGCCCACTGCACAAGGGGGAGCACCTTTGCACTGGAGCGAGGCCAAGGCTGGCTGTCGGGGCTGGTGATAGGAACGGGGAGGGGGCAGCATCAAGATGGAGTTAGAAAGTGATTACTTAGCCTCTCAGTGCTTCCCCTCCTCCCTGCTTCTCAGGTCATGGCGCCTGGTTGTGTCGGGTCCTAGTGTCCTGTCCACACCACGCAGGAGTGCCAGATCCCCTCTCATCCAGGTGAGGGAACACCGTCTTTACGGCTGCTCAGGACGGTCCTGCCCTGCTTTCATACGGCTGCGCACAAGCAGGCAGCACGGCCTGTGCCCTGGGAGGCAGGACCCTGGGTACTATTCCTGGCTCCGCCACTGATGCAGGCAAGTCTCTTCCCCAGCTGTGAAAGGGGGGTATGTGGACACCTTGGGAGATGGGTGCTCTCCCAGGGCAGTTAATTATGTGCTGTCCATTCCAGGGGTTAGCACCGTGGGCCCCACTCCGCCAAGAGCCTCAGTCAGAATCCCTGCCCCATGCCCTCTCTAGTGCCCAGCCCTGGCTGTAGCTCTAGCATCTCTGTGTGAGGCTACGTGCCAGACCCAGAAACCAAGCGCCGCTCTGCGGAAGAGCGTCTGTGCCCAGTACAGCCAGGGTGCTGGGGGCGGTGTGGAGAGAGGCAAAGGGATGTCGAGGGACGCATGGCGTGAGCCTAGCCGGAGCGGGAATGTAGCAGGTAAAGGGCTCACCCCTGTTCTGCTCGCTGAGGAGCCTCATGCAGGGACCCAGCGATGAGGCAGAAGGGAAGCAGGGCTTAGAGTTCTGGAACCAGCCACCCAGCCTGTGCAGAAGGGGGTCTGAGAGGCCGTCTGCTGAAGAAACACCACACAAGCCCCTTAGGCCCCTCCAGCTGCCACTCCCTGGCCCCCGTGGGCGTTGGTAGGGTCTGAGGGTTGCCCCATGGAGAGCAGCAGCTAATTCAGGCCCCTTTGCCAAAGAACGGAAGGGCGGTGAGAGGCCAGTCAGCGGGAGCCGCCCAAGAATGGCTGCCGGCAGCTTCTTTGCCTGCCCTCCACTCCGCCTCAGGAGTGCTCAAGGGGCTTGTGAACCCTTCCAGGGCCTGCAAGGGTGGTTGTAGCCCAAACCTGTGTTTCGTGCTGTGTCCCGGTGAGCTGGGTGCTGCACCACTCCTCCAGCACAGAGCCTCTGCCATGAGCGAAGGGAACGCCAGCCCCCAGCCAGTTAGTACCTCTGCTGAGCAATGCAAGGTGCTGTGCTGGGGACCAGCCCCATGGAGTATTTTTGCATGTTGGCTTAAGTCCCTGTGCTGCTACTGAGCCGGGTTTAGTGGGCCAGGGGTTCCCCTAGTCTGCGGAGCTGCAGGGCAGAGGTTCCAGTAACCACCCCCATCCCATCCAAGAGGGACAGGAGTCGAGCTGAGAGCACCCCCCCACCCCGCAGGGACTAACCTGCCATGGTACCAGGCTGCTAAAGGCTGGGATTCCAGCCGCTGGGCCAGGCTGCTTGTCTGTGTGGGCAGTTACCTCAGGAGAGGGGATGCTCCCAGCGCTTTGCACCCCTCCTTGAGCTAATCACGGCTGCTTTGCTCTTGGGCTGGGTCCAGTCAGCTCTGTTCCCCGACTTCTGTGCTTTCTTCTGAGGGAGGGCCCCTGCGGATTGTACTCTATGGGCTGCTGGAACCGGTGCCTCTCCCTGCATGTCACTGCAGCCTCCCCTCCCCTCAGGTGCTAGGGGGAGGGAGCCTGGCCTCCCTGGGCGTACATGAGGCCTGAGCAGGGCCCTGGCTTTGGATCTAGACCACAGGTATGTGCTCCCTTCTGGGCCTGGGAGAGCAGCTTCCACCCCTGCCCCACCCAGCAGTGTCCCCACATCCCTTGTGTCTGGTCTGGCTCCTGGCTGCACCACAGCTGTCTCCCCAGGCCCTCTTCTCAGGGCAGAGCCCTTACTCCAGGTGATTTACTCCATTTAATACAAGGTTTTTAGGAGACTTTTGTAGCTCTTTGGTATTTACACTTATTGCTACCATTGTTTGTAAATCTATTTATTTTTTACCTGCATTTTTTCATTTTTTAAAAGGTCTGTTTTTATATCGCAATGGATTTGTCATAATAAAGAGATTTGCACACAGGAAGGCTGGGGGTGTGTCTTGGGGGGGCAGCTGCATTCTTGGCCCTAGAAATGAGTCCCCACCCATGTCAAGAGCAGCTCTGCCAGGAGCCTGGCTTGGTAACTGAGTGCCTCCCCAAGGGCCATGTTCATGAGAAGCAGGCCACCTCAGCCTACGCTCCTGCCCCCCAGGCTCCTGCAACTACCCACGCAGGGCCACTTCCTCCCTTAGCCATGCCCTGCAGGGGCCTGAGGTGGGGCAGGGGGCTCACCGTGGAGGCAGAATTCCCAAGGGTTTGCTCCAGTAGCTGAATACCAGCTGACCCATGCTGCTGTAAAGGGGGCTCAGTGTCCCGGGCTGAGGCAGGGTCGCTGCTCCTCTCCCCACCCCAGGGCGCTGGGAGGACACAGAGACAGTGCAGGCCCACTGACCCTCCTGTCACTTTTATTCAAGGGGCAGGAAGAAGGAACACAAAACCAGCACAAAAAGTCAGTTGGCTCTTGGCTGAGCAGGAAAGGTGATGCCACCTGCTGTCTCCACCAGCAGCTGGGTGGTCGGGGTTACACTCATTGTTTCAGTTCTGAGCACTAGTGCCAGACCGAGGAGATGGGGGCGCCTGGATTCCCTGCTGTGCAGGCAAGGTGGTAGGGCTGGAGTCGCTGGGCCTGAGATCTGCATTCTCTGAGGAGTGCGTCACAGAAACACAGTGCTCCACCACATTGAGGAGGACGAGAGGCCGCTGGCCTCCAAACCCTTGGAGTCCGGAACCCAGCAAGGCTCTAGGAAAAGCTGAGACTGTGCTAGGCCCCAATTTGTTGGCAAGGCAGGTGGCAGGAGTATGGCTGCACTCTTGATCTTCTCTCTGAGAGCCCAGGGTAGGGGGTCAGGAGAGAATCAGCACCACCGCAGCCTGGCTGTGTTGTTAATGGGAGATGGCAAAGTCCCATTAGGAAAGAGGACAGCTGGGTTCGCAGCCATGGGGCCAGCTGGCCTGGGGCAGGGAGTTGGGTTTGGCCCCAGGGGGCCAGCTGGCCTGGGGCAGGGAGTTGGGTTCCCCAGGGGGCCAGGTGGCCTGGGGCAGAGAATTGGGTTTGGCCCTAGGGGGGCAGCTGCTTTGGAGAAGGGGACTGGGTTCATGCTCTGGGGCTCACCCACCCTGGGGAAGGGAGTCCGGTTCACACTCTGGGGACCAGCTGCCCTGGGGAAGGGAGATTGACCCAGGGGACCAGTAGGTCTAGCATCCAGCATGACAGGCCCCTGTGTGATGGGAGCTGTGTTCATGCCCAGGGAGCCAGTTCTTGGAACTGGAGCTGGGCTCATGCCTAGGAGGCCACCAGCCCTTGGGCTGGGAGCCAGGTTCATGCCCAAGGGTGAGCCACCCCCTGCAATGGTAGCTGGGGTTGCACTTGAGGGTCCTCCTTCCCTTGGAAAGGGGAATGGATTCATAGATAGGGGGTCAGCTGGTCTAGTGGTGAAGAGGCCAGTCCCCCTCGGCATGGGAGCCAGGCCCAGGGCTCCAGTCCCCCTTGGCATGGGAGCCAGGCCCGGGCCCAGGGCTCCAGTCCCCCTTGGCATGGGAGCCAGGCCCGGGCCCAGGGCTCCAGTCCCCCTCGGCATGGGGGCCGGGCTCGGGCCCAGGGCTCCAGTCCCCCTCGGCATGGGGGCCGGGCTCGGGCCTAGGAGGCCACCTGCCCTCACAATGGGAGCTGGGCTTGGGCCCAGGCTCCCAGTTCCCACTGAGATGGGAGCTGGATTCGGACCCAGAATACCACCTGGCCTGGGGACTGAAGCTGGGCTTGGGCCCAGGGCTCCAGTGCCCCTTGGGATGGGAGCCGGACTAGGGCCCAGGAGGCCACCTGTCCTTGTAATGGGAGCTGGGCTGGAGCCCAGGAGGCCACCTGCCCTAGGAACGGAACCTGGCCTGGGGCCCAGGGCTCCAGTCGCTGTTGGGACGGGACCTGGCCTGGGGCCCAGGGCTCCGGTCGCTGTTGGGACGGGACCTGGCCTGGGGCCCAGGGCTCCGGTCGCTGTCGGGACGGGACCTGGCCTGGGGCCCAGGGCTCCGGTCGCTGTCGGGACGGGACCTGGCCTGGGGCCCAGGGCTCCGGTGCCCCTTGAGATGGGAGCCGGACTAGTGCCTAGGAGGCCACCTGCTTTAGGGATGGGAGCGGGGTTGGGGCCCAGGAGCCCACCTGCTCTTGGAAGAGTAGCTGGGTTCTGGCACACAGTGCCAGTGCTCCTGGGGGTGGAAGTTGGGTTAGTGCCAAGGAGGCCACCTGTCCTTGGGGTGTGAACTGGGCTTGGGCCCAGGAGGCCACCTGCCCTTGGTAGGGGAGCTGGGCTAGCACCCAGGAGCCCACCTGCCCTGGGGAAGATAGCTGGGTTTGGGCCCAGGCCTCCAGTGCCCCTTGGGATGGGAGTCGGGCTAATGCCCAAGAGGCCACCTGCCCTGGGGAAGGGAGCTTGACTTGTGTCTGGTGGTCGGGTCCCCCTTGTGCTCGGAGCACAGTTCTGGCCCAAGGACATGGCCCCACCGGGCACAATGGCTGGAGTTGTACCCAAGAGGCCACCAGGCCTTGGCAGGAGAGCCTGGCTCATGTTTTGGAGTTCAACCCCTCTTGGGATGGGAGCTGGGCTTATGCCCAGGAGTCCGGATGCTCTAGGGAAGGGAGCTGAGTTTGCCCCCATGAGCCCAGGCCCAGCCCCACTTGGAAAGGGAGCTGAGTTTGCCCCCATGGGGCCAGCGCCTCTTGGGAAGGGAGCTGAGTTTGCCCCCATGGGGCCAGCCCCCCGCCCTCGGGACAGAAGGTGGGCTCGTGTCCAGGGGGCAGGACGCTCTCTGGTATGAGGCCGGGGTTCTTTCATACTTTCTTGGGCACGTTGGTGATGATGGGCTTGGGGCGGGTTTTGAAGAGGAGCTTTGTCTTGATCAGAGCCGTCACCAGGTAGTGGGCAGCTGCCCCTGTGGGGCTGCGGTCACAGCCGTGCTCACTGGCACCACGTTTGGTGAGGACGGCGAAGGGCTTCTCCAGGCGCACTACCTTCCCATAAAGAATGTGATGGCCCACGATGAGCACAGGGACCCCCTTGGGAAAGAAAAGATAACAGGCACAGGGTCAGAGCCCTGCAGGGACCAGGCTCCCTTCCTTTCTCTACAGCCTCCTTACCCCTTCCACAAGAAGATGGACATCAGAACCAGGTGCAGCCTTCGTGGGAGCTGCCGTGGCAGAGGACTCCCTACAGCTGCTCTCCCAAGCCTGTAAGGAAGGTAAGGAAAGCTCCCTCACCTCTCTGGTGTAATGCAGGTCTCCCAGGAGGTTTCCAGCCAGTCCGGTGCTGTAGCGAGCCTCAATCTCTCCCTGCAGCTCCATCAGCACCCACTCTGCCAGGCCATCAGCCCCATCACTGAAAGCAAAGGGCTGGGGGTTACAATGTCCTAAGGGTCGAAGGGCCAGGAGGGGGATGTCCACACAGAGGCTACACTACAGAAAAATGTGGCAAGCCAGGTCCACTAGCTCTCTGGTTTCTGTGCAATATCTGGGTTTAGACACTGACCAAGAGCCTTGCTGAAGCGTGTTCAGAGCCCAGTGGGACACAAGCTAGCTCAGAAACTGACAACTCCTCACTTCCTCACACTAGCACAGGAAGGAGTCATGCCACACTCACCTGGAAATCACAATCTGCACCATGCTCCACTTCTCCTCTGCAAATCGAAGGAGACACAGATTCATCAGCAAATGGGGCTGAGGGACCAGGCACCTGGTCTGAACCTCCTGGGCCACTAGGCGAGAAGTGACCACCCAGCTGTACCTGGGGAGGGGAGGAGTCCACTCTCTCCTCATTGCCAAGTCTCATTGTTTGAGCCACTTATGGCACAGCCCCCAAGAGACCCTTTGATGCACAGGCTCCCTTTGTGCCCTAAGGGGGAGTGATGGGTAGAGCAGCGATTATTTTGTATTTTACTGCCACCTACTGCCAAACTCGGATAATGTTCCGGACAATGGGTGATGCGATATGCACAATAGAAGCGGCTCAATGTTGTGCTCCCCAAAACAGCCAGAGGGAGTCTCCCAGAAGCAGGGAGAATCACCAAGAACATGGCATAATGACCTGACTGCAAGGGTAGCAAGTGGCTGGCACATACCTGACCCTTAAGATTACACTCCAAGCCACAATATGTTTGTTTGATTGTAACAAACAACGGAAGAGGCTGGACTACCAGATGGGATGTTCCAAGATCATTTTCATTGGAAACAACAGATGGGATTTGAACACAGGCAGATGAGTGACTAACGTGTGGCTCCACCAGGCCTCCCTTTTACACAGCACCACACTGTCTCAAAGCCAGTTTGCTTAGATGGTGGATGTCATGTCAGCAAAGTGCTTAGAAGAGGCATCCTCCAAATACCTTATGGATCAGCAAGATTGTGTAGTTTCCTTGGCTGTTTGACTCCTGTCTTTTACTTCATTATAGTTAGCATGGTGGGCCCTGGATCCCAACACCCCTGAAGCAGAGCTCAACCAGCCCAGACTGCGAACATTCTCCTGTAAAGCTAGAATTAAACTATCTTATTGTCTGTAATTCAGGCAGCCTGAAGTGTGTGATGTGAACTCCCCCAGACTATTCAGCAGTGAAAGCTGGGTCCATGGGAGTTTGCAGGGGAAAGGAATTTTCACTAATATCTCAGACTTCTAAGTATTAATCTCTACAGAGGCTAATTAATCATTTCTTGGAGATTGATATATTAGGATAAACTCGTAACAATAAGATAGACTCTTGCAAATTAAAACTGGAAAAGCTCCTTTTGCTCCCACTGAGTCCATCTCCCAAGGGCTGCAGCAGGAGTACTCCATGCAGGACGTTTTCTGGGGCTTTCTCTGAGCTAATTTAAAGTTTCCCAAATGACAAGATTTCTGCCCCTTCCTTGAGAGTCTTCCATGGCCATATACATCTCACTGTCACTAGCTCTTTCCTTCCAGTCAAGCTAAAGTCCCCCTTGCTTAATTTCATCCTATTCCTCCTACGTACATCCACCTCTGCATAGGAAAGTAACTTCTATCCCCCCTTGGTGTTTACACTGTTTAGATACAGGAAGATTTATGTCCCCCACCTTTATTGTCACATAGCCAAGTTAGTTCCTTCTTTCCTCATAAATTAATCGCTCCAGCCACTTGTTTTTCTGATCTGAATTCCCTCCAATTTGTTAATATCTTTTGGACAATTTGGTGCTCAAAACTGAATGGAACATTCCAGGTGTGCTTGCATCAGAGTTGTGTAGAAAGGGGCTATTTTAAAATGATTATTAAAAAATTAAACAGATCTATCTTATAGCACTTTCCATCCTGAATCATTCCACTTGCATTACAAATTTTAATGATATACACAGTGGAATCACAACACAGGCCACTGTAACACAGCCACCTCTTTGGTGGAACAAGTAGCTGTTTGACTCGATTAGTGGAGATCTTTACTCTCTAAAATGTAACTTACTTTCACAGAATAGTCTTATTCCCAGGAAAGGGAGTTCCGTTACTAATAATCCTCCTTTCCTCTGCCTCTTGTTGGCATTCGCTACAGCCAGACTTGAAACTCCTGCATAGAAACACTCCCTGTTTGCAATTGCACATGAAACATCAGACTCCCAAACCCTCTCATGACCCGCCTCCTATTTAATCCTCCAGTACAGACATTCTAATCAGGAGCCAACCGGCTCTGCAATGAAACTAAGGCAGTGTGGGGAAATGATACTTCCCGTGGGGACAGTACAAAAATGGATGTGCCCCATAAAACTCAATCAATACTGTGATTGGGTCCAAGGCGCTCTACAGCCTACAGGCTGCTGTCCTGAGCCATACCCAGGCTCAGTGTGACACAGAATAAGGGAGGGCTTCAGACCTCAGCCTGGGAATGGTGGCCACAGGCTGCACAGTTTCTCTCCATGCCACACCCCAGTGAGGTTCTACCCAGCTGTACCCTCATGCCTCTGCTCTCCTTCCTGCAGCCTGCCCCAGCCCCTGCCCCAGCTTCTCTAGCCCTTCCCTCACCACCCTCCCTCACCGGAGCCCCTTCGCTAGCCCCTCCCCCACCACCTTCCCACAGCCCCTCCCCCAGCCCTTTCCTCCTCATCCTTCACCAGAGCCCCTTTGATAGCCCCT